TAAGACACAGCCCCACCCAGGAAGAGCTTGGTACATGTGTGACAGAGGGAAGGAAGGCAGGCGGGAGAGAGAAACAAATGCTGTTAACAACTTACCTATGGCTGAAGAGGAGGCTGGGACCCTGCACGATTAAACGAAAGGACAGCAAATTCCCGGCCACTAACTGGTCAAAACAAACACGGCGCTCACTCTTCGTGCTGCCCAGCTCCCCCCTGCTTTCTTCTTATCACCACTTTCTCGATCCCCCAACTCCCCCAGCTACACTAAGCTGTTGAGCTTGACAGCTTCCAAACAATTCTGGTCACTACTAGTTAGATGCAATGGGACCGGGAACGTGCATCAGAATAACAACGCCAAGGCCTGAAATAACAAAGTGAAACAACAAACAGCACTTTTCATCACTGTGCTGCCACTTTTACATGTGATTTTGTCTCCTTAATTATTTAAAATATTCTCTTCTTACCTAAGGGGGGCTGTGAGAGGCCCACCCAGATCATGGAGGTAAAAAAGATTAGAATTCTGATGCTTTAAAGAAATAGTGAGAAAGGATTCAATAAAGATACATACTATTCTAAGTATAAAACTATGTACTAGCTCTGGTGAGGTAGATAAATCTCTGTTCTCTTCATGACAAAGAGCGACGGTGTTACAAAATAATTTTTGGTTTAACTATCTTAGAGTAGTCATTATAAAAGTCTATGTTTTTATTCTAAAAAAGCCAGAACTCTAGAGAATCTACCAACTTGTCGTTTTGCTCATCTCCACACTATGATCCTCTTAGAGAAATGACAAAAAGACCAGAAGGAGAAAAACAGTACAAAATGTCAGCATTTGTAATTTTTCCTATCAAGTCAGATATATATATATATATATATATGGATGGATTTTTCAGAGAAATATCTTCTTGCTTTTGGGCTGAATCTGCAAATAAGGCACTCATATGACAAGATAGCAGTATCTGTATGAAAACAAAAACCATGTGAAACTGAAACGATTACTAAATACAGTGTACTATTAGGCTACTTTAATTATTTAAAAAGTCTGTCAGTAAATAGCTAATATATTGCTTCTTGCTTCAAAATGTAATAATTTTAGATGTAAAAGTTATCCATCTCTCATGAAAATTCTGGACTACGCTAACATTGAATAAAATATTTATTTTGATTTTTTCCTCTGTGACATAAGATTGTTTATTTTTCCTAGCTCTCCAAATGACATAGTTGCCGAACCTCTTTCAGCTGGTCTCGCCTGAAAATAAGATAAAAAAAATTAGTAACAGATAAATTATACCTCTAATGCTGAATTATATTTTTTTTAAATCCCCTCCCCTAAGTAAAAAAATAATAAAAAGCAAATGGAAACATGAACCCTCTAAGAAAAGTAATCTATCTTAATAATGTTACCTGTGAATCGTGATATTTCCACCCTATCATGTAATAGATCTGATATGTGGCAGGTACTGAACCATCCTCATTTCTGTACATTTCTATAAAGACAAATAATGGTTAAAGTCCGAAAAAATGCAAGGAGGAAAAATTATCTGCTCAATAAAAGTCATGTCTTCCAAAGAGCAATCAATGAGTATTAGGATACTCCCAGGATTCTGAGAATGCCTCACATGAGAAATCCTCAGCCCTGAGAAGCTGACAGTACGGAAAGAATAAGGACTGTTTGGAAAAAGGGTATGGAGCTATAGGATCTGTGTTTTGAAAGGAAAGGCAAGAAGTCAGAGGGTGCCTTAACAGGAAAGGAGGCAGCACTGGCAGGTATAAGGGAAAATAAACATGACAGGCACCAGTTTCCTAGTGAGGCAGTGTGAGGACGGCCAGCTCCCTTACCTCCATACACCGCGGCAGCCGCCAGCATTGTGTCCCGGTGCAGCAGGGCCTTTCTATTCCAAGCACAATTACTCTCACCCATACCTAAAAATACACCACAGGCAGTTTCAGATAATACAGCAAATACCCCAGCAGCTCAAACAATAGCACGGATTTAACCTCTTGTCATCCAACCCAATCTCATTCTCTAATAGTCATGCAAAATAACTAATCTCATTTTGCTCTCAGGCTGTAGGTAGGCTTTAGTGACTCCAAGACAAAACTACCTGAAGCTTCTGGACAAGTGAGGAAGTCCAATTTCAGGAGGCAAGCCCATAAGCACTCTTTACTTAACAGCAATGGTCTAAAGCAGAGGCTCTCAACCTGTGGGTCATGACCCCTTTGGGGGTCAAACGACCCTTTCACAGGGGTCGCCTAAGACCATCGGAAAACAAGAAGATATTTACATTACGATTCATAACAGTAGCAAAATTACAGTTATAGAGTACCAACAAAAATAATTTTATGATTGGGGGTCACCACGACATGAGGAACTGTATTAAGGGGTCGCGGCATTAGGAAAGTTGAGAACCGCTGCTCTAAAGGAAGTCAGCAGGGCAAAAGCAAGGTGACTGGCCGTCTAGGTGAGTCATTAGGAGTTGGCAAGTGCCTTTCCAAGGATGCTGTATTGTTTCCCCTTTTAGCTGCTCTTTGAAGGAGCGCAAGACACTGCTGCAATGCCTCACTCCTTCTAAGCCATAAACGGAAGTACGATCATGAAACTTGCAAGAGGGCTTTAAGATTCATTAGACAGTAGCTAAACTATTCTGTGTTTGCAGATTTTACAATACTTTACTAATCCTAGATTAGGAAAAAATTATGTGTATTCTGTTCAGGGGCATTTTACTTAGTATTTTAAAATTTAGCTTTAGATTTCTTCAAATTGATAGCTAAATGCTAGGGTTAATATATTATTCTATTGTTCATTTAAAATTAGTGTTGTATATTTGATTTTCCATTGTGCATATACATAAACAAAATTAGTTTGAAAGGCTACATTTAAACTAGTCCTCAAATTAAAAGAATTTCAAAAGTAAAGACCCTTTACATTTATTCTCTATACATGATCAAAAATCACTTTCTTAGTTTTGTTTTTCTATTTTCATAAAAGAAGCCAATAAACTTCACAATATCAAGGTTCTGCAGTATTTTAAAAATAATAATCTCCCAAGTTTTTGATGGCCTTATTGAAAAACAATCAACAAATTAGCTGTAATAAGTAAACCATTTTCTTCTCTCCAATCCCAAAAGGTTCCTATTATTCCGTAAAATAATGACTCTCTGGTGTTAAAAGCAACGTCCCACGTCCTGTGAGTATAACAGCCCCAATGCATGAAGAACATATAAACCAGTAGGTTAATCCTCGTGAAGACAAAGGTAGGCCCTATTCTTGCGTCATGAAGCAGCTTAGACCAGCTGATCTTAGACCACCTGCTCTGGGTCTGTAAGGTGGCCAGGTTAGATGAGCTCTGAAGGTTTCTAATGCTAACAGTTTAGAACTATTACATAATCAAATTTAAAAACATTCTCCTACAGAGGGACGGCCGAGTGGCTCAGTTGGTTAAGAGCTCGCTCAGGAGTTTGAGCTCTGAGCAACAGCGGTTCAGGTCCAGCCCGAGCTGAGCAGCCGCTGAGCTGCCAACAGGTAGCAGGATGGCTCAGCTAAAAAAAAAAACAACAAAAACAAAACATTCTCCTACATAGTGAGTATCAACTGTACCAAGAGACCAGAGGTAAAATGGGACTCTGTTGCTGATGATGGCTGTGGTGCTTTCATTTCTGCTTAACTTCCCATCGCCGTGACTGACACGTAACAGGTAACAGGCAACACCAGTGGAAAACAGGTTTCATTTTTTTAATGTAAATACCTAATGAATTTCTATGAAATTTCATATGAAATGCCCTCTAAATAATTATTAGGATAAACTAATTAAGTTTATTAGGCATAATGCTCTTTCTGAGGTTTGACCTACGTCTGACCTAGGCATAATGCTCTGATATAGAAATTCAGTTGCACTACTGCACAGATAGCACAGTTAGTAACTCTGCTGCTAGTGCAGCCCACCCTTCCCTCACAAGGGAGGTTCATGGCCATACTAAAATTCCTTCTCCTCACAGAAGAACTGTGATGTTACACAGAGTCTAGACATTGGGATCATAATTCCCGTTCTGACCCTTACATAACCTGGGGCAAAGTCATATAATCTCTATTAAACTCAGTTCTGTTATCTTCAAAGTGGAATGATAACGCTTCATAATGCATCCTGGTGGACCTTTACAGAAGCCCATCTGGGAAACACATCTGGGGACCAGCTCTGGGCTTTGGGATAATAGAGAAATCTGGAAAGTAGGTAACTGCTTAATAAGACTCTCACAGTGTTTTTAAGGTCAAGTTCAACTGCTTATAAAAATATCTAATTGATTATGGTATACAAGGAACAATATTGAGCATTGTCTAAAAAACATAACTGAACTTACCTTAAAAATACTGTGAAAGCCTCCAAAACTTTTCATGCATTCATCGCTGACATAAAACTTGTTTTGTAAAATTAGCTCAACATTCTCGACTTTTTTCTGTGAATTAATAATAATGGCAACTTAAATGGAAACACCACAACCATCAAGAAAAAAAGTGCAATGCAACAAAAATACCAAAAACCAATATGAAGGTAACAGCACACTCCAGTCTGCAAAGCCACACACCTGGAAGTCTCCCAAGCCCCTCTCCACCTCCATTCATCCCCTGACCCACTCTTCTTCCCATCTTAGCTGCCTCTGACCTTCTCACCACTAGAATGGTTGAGATTTCAGGATCTCAGTCAGGCTGCAACGCTGGGTTTAAATCCTGGCTCCACCATTTACTAAACACATCTCCTTGAGCAAGTTACTTCTCTCTGTGCCTCAATTTCCTCATGACGGGTTAACAATGTAAACTTCATCTAGTCTGATCTTCTTCATAAAACATGCTCATGAGCAGTGCTGGAGGATGAGCTCTCTAACACACTAATTTCACTGTCTCTCCTCTGCGCCAAATTCTTCCAAGACACTACTAGAGTCACCTGATAAAATCTAGAAGCCTCTGATGGACTATCCTGTGTCATTTATCATCTCCCCATTCCACATGTTTAAGCAATACTGAATTACAGTACAGTTCCTCAATTAGAAAATAGAAGCATGTATCCTCGTATATCTCTACAATTTTGCCCAGGCCGTTTCCTTGGCTTGGAATGCAATGCTCACTCCCGGCCTCCACCCAGAACCTGCACCCACCCACCTTCATTCTCCTGGCAGACTCACTTTAACTTAGGTGCTGCCTCTTCTGCAAAAGCATCCCTGACTCCCTAAGCAGATTTAGGGGCTTTTGCTCTTGTGTTTCTCCCTGTACTTTAAAAAACAATGATCTCAATCTACAGTTAAATGCACTTTCTGTCTATGTCTGTCTTGGTGTGTCTCTCTAATAGAGCACAAGCTCCTTGAGGTCAGGAACTATGTGTTTCCATCATTGGCACATGGTCGATGCTCAACAAATGGTAAGTAAATGAATATAAAATAAACCAGTTAATGTTCCTATCTACTTTGTTAAATATCACTTTTACAAGTTATCTTTAGATAATTCTTCTTAATCCTCCTACGGATAAGAAAAATCTAAGACTAAAACACATGATTTGTATAAAAGGCTTTATAGTAAAAATAAGAGCGGCACTGGCAAAACTTCTGAAACGTGAAAAAAAGGCAACAGTTCCTCAAAATAATAACCAATTGAAAATCCAGTTACCAACTGGGAGGGAGCACGAGGCAACCTTCTGGGAACTGGAAATAACGCTATACCTTTGATTGATTAGTGGTTAAAAATACAAGCAGCTGTACAGTTAAGATTAGTGCAATTTACTAACATCTATTTAACTTCAGTGAAAAAAAAGAACACACACACACATCAAGTTTGCAATATAGGACTCTGGATTCAAATCATAACTCTTAGTGTGGCCATGGACGAGATACTTAGCTTCTTGATGTCTCAATTTGCTCATCTGTAAAATTAGGATATTAGGAAGCCTCACAGAATTGCACCTAACACAAAGTATTGTTTTTAAGTCAGTGGGCAGCAACCTCTTCCAACTGATAGGTCTGATTTCTAGTCTCTCTCTCTTTTCTTTCCTGAAGCGAATCATGAGCACAGCACTTATTATATAACAAAAATAAATGCTGTATTGGGCTGGCCAAGTGGCTCAGTTGGTTAAGAGTTAGCTTAAGAGCATGAGCTCTGAACAACAGGGCCACCGGTTCGATTCCCACATGGGCCAGTGATGCTGTGCCCAGAGCTGAGCTGCTGCTGAGCTGCCAACAGGTGACAGGATGGATCAGCTGGTGAGACCATGTGCTCCCAACAACAAGACTGCCTGTTAGATGGTGGGCTACGCCCGCCAGCAACTAAGACTGAACTTGGCACCTTGAGCTGAGCTGCTGCCCAGATGGCTCAGTGGATAGAGCATGCGCTGTTAACAACAAGGCTGCTAGTTCGACTCCCACATGAGATGGTGGCTTTGCCACCCGCAACTAAGATTGAACACAGCACCTTGAGCTTAGAGGCCACGAGCTGCCGACGGGCAGCCAGATGGCGACTGGTGCCCTCCATATATAAGATGGAAGAACAACAACTTGGCTGGTCCCCCTCCCCAATTCCCCAATACTGTTCCCGTCCCCCAACCCGCCCCCCCAAAATGCTGTATTTAAAAATTATTTTTATCATTAGAGTCTGAATAAGTTACCAGCTGACCACCATCTCTCAAGCCTTTGGATGAAGGGGCTCTGTGATCACATCAGGGGAGCTGAGTGCTCAGGAGGGAGTGTGTAAGTTATTATTGGTCCCCTGTCATCTCGGGCATGCAGGCTAAGACTCCGATCCTGTAGTAAATTTTAATGAATTAAGTGACTACGACAGTAGGTTTGCAGCTACACATCTTTCCGCTTGTAACACTCAAAGGATGCTGGACAATGGGTAAAATGGACTTTACAAATGAGTAGCTACGAGAAGCAGTAGAATCAGTGAGAGAGTTCCAGTGCAGGAGTCAAGGCAAGAGTTTGGCACCTAATTCTTCCACCAAGAGGCAAGTGTTCTCTTTGGGTCTAATGTTTTTCCCTTGTAATAAAGAGATGAAGTAATTACCAGAAGGCTATTGAGAGAAGCAAGTGCAACAATACTCACAAAGCAAACTAGACATCTGTAAACAAAGTATTTTTATAATCCTCTTTAATTTTTCAGGATCCAGATGAAGGCTCCCTTGGGGAAATGTAGTTGTGGTTTCACAGAACACATATTTGATCTTCTCCCATTCATCAACACGGTTTATGCCATTAGACTGTGGAATAAAAAAATCAAACCTCACCAAAACTCACTGAGGTAAGTTGAGGCTCTCTTTTGAGAAAATCATTCTCTAGGAGCCCTCTCAAAGGTAGATGAGTATTTTTTTTTAAGATTTTATTGGGGAATTGGGGGAGGGGAACAGTGTTGGGGAATTGGGACAGGGGAACAGCCAAGTTGTTGTACAATCTTAGTTGTGGAGGGCGCAGCAAGCTCAGCTCCAAGTCCAGTCACGCCGCTCAGCTCAAGGTGCTGTGTTCAATTAGTTGCAGATGGGCGTAGCCACCATCCCATGCGGGAGTTGAACCGGCAGCCTTGTTGTTAAGAGCACACACTCTATCCCCTGAGCCACCCAGGTGGCAGCTCAGCTCAAGGTCCTGAGTTCAGTCTTTAGTTGCGGGTGGACGTAGCCCACCATCTCAAACAGGCAACCTTGTTGTTAGGAGCACATACTCTCACCAGCTGAGCCATCCTGCCACCTGTTGGCAGCTCAGCAGCAGCTCAGCTCTGGGCACAGAATCACTGGCCCATGTGGGAATTGAACCGGCGGCCCTGTTGCTCAGAGCTCACACTCTTGAGCAAGCTCTTAACAAACAGAGCCACTCTGACAGCCCCATGGATGAGTATTTTTGTATAAGTCACCTCTTTTGTGGTTGGAGGTAGGGTCTGTGTCCTTGTTGCTGTTCAAAGTCTCTTTCAGGCCATTACTTCTCTATTAGAAACCCCTGCCCTGCTGAGACCCACACCATGTGGCCGGAACCGCCCCCTACTCCTGCTTGCTGTCAGACATCAGGCTACCAACACTTCCCCCATTCATCAAAGGGCGTGCCACCTGGTTCAGTTTCCCTCTGCACCCCAAGTCCTGATACCACCATGGTGACTTCAATGTTAATACCTGTCAAGTACCATGGCTTGTAAGATTTTTTAGTCTCCTCATTGCTACTGGACTTCTCTATCACTCCAACTCTGCCACCACACCTGAAACATGTCCTGGACCAAGTTATCACTTTACTCCCCAAATCATCAATTCAAACATCCCATTTTCTGGCCATATTCTCCTGTCCTTCAAACATGTTCAGGTATTTCAACCATCGTCATTCTCTGACCACCTTGGGATCGCTTGTACACATCTCTGCTTTCTCCCAATCTAGTCTTAGCTTCTTTGGCCTATAATTTCAATTACACTCTTGGAATTATCTTTTGCCTTTGTGTTTTTGTCACTCGCAACTAGCAAAGCCCCAACCCAAACTAATTCAACTATCTGTTTTGTGCTTCGTCCCAAGCTGCCAACTGTCGTTAGAGAAAGTCATAGGTGTATCTGACCAACTTCAAATTCCATAATTTTCTCTGATCAATTCCCCTTCCTATTCCCTACAATGACTATTTCAAATTATCTCCACTCAATTCTCAAATCTCTGACCCTTTCATTCTCAGTATATGACACTACTCTCTGCTTGATCCATTCGATGGAAGCTTCCTGATATTAAACATAAGCACCGATGTCCATTGGCACAATCCCGCTTCCCTTCCTTCTATGTCTGCCTGGCCCGCTCCTTTATCCAAGGCCAATCCTCCTCCAGCCTTGGTACCTCATCCCCCCTCCACCTTCTCAGGTACCTGATACATCGATCATCCCTTCTCTCTTCTAGAGTCACTTCTATGAAAGCACTTAGATTCTTCCTATCAGCAGTTAAAGAAATTCAAGTCATAAGACAAAACAAAGTAAAAAACCTCATCCTGTCTCCTATTCCATCTTCCCCTCTGACACCTGTAACCTTTCCATCTCTCACCTTTTCTTCACAAACTTCTTGAGACAATAGATATTTGCAATCTTCACTTTCCAATTAGCCCTCAATCTACCCATTACTTCTACTCCCATCACTCCTACAAACAGGCTTTCAGGACCATCACCATAACCTTCTTGTTCCTAATGGACTTGCTTTCCAGTCCGAATCTCGCTTCTCAGCAGCATTTGATGTTTTTGAGTGCTGGTTTCAATTTTTTAGGTTCCCTTCGTCTTGAACTTTCCCTTGGTTTAGATAGTACTATACTTTTCTGTTGTTGCTCCTTACCACTTTGCTAGCTAATCTTTTCTTCGTCTCTTTGTAGGCTCATCCTTTTACGCAGTCACTATATTTTAGGTTCCTAAAGGCTCAGTACCCGCCACTTTCTCTTCTTCCTGCATGCTCTCACTCTAAGCAATTACTTCAAATACCACCTATTCACAAGAGTTGCAATTTTTTAACCAGGCCAGTCACCTCCTCTAAGCTACATACCCAGTTGTTTACTTGACATCTCCTCTTAGATATTTCAAAACCATTTCAAACCCAGCATATCGAAATGTGAACTCAAGAACTGTCCCTGCCCATACTTGGTCTTCTTCTACTGTTTCCTCTGTCTATGAAGGGCACCATCTATCTGGTTATGTGAGCTAGAAACTCAGCAGTTACGTTTGAAACATCACCCTCCTTCATCAGCCCACATGTAATCCACCAGCAAGAACTGTCCAATTTACCTCCTAAATACCTCTAGAATTCATTCACTTCTCTGTCTCCACTGCTACAACCTTAGTCCAAACTACCATCATTTCTCACAGAGCTTTACCTCAATATGTCTCTCTACTAGTTTATTTGCCAATCCATTCTTTTCAAAATACTAACCTGATATCTGAACCCCCTTCTCTATCCCCGTGAAAATACCTCAAAGGGCATTTTAAAACAGAGACAAACAATCTTAACAAGGAATAGAAGGCCCTACTGCATGAACTCTGGCCCCCACTTACCCAACTGGTTTAATCATTTAATCTTCTTTTTACTCCCTGTATTCTAGCTACCATGTCCTCTTTTCAGCTCTTTCTTGCAACAGGGCCTTTGCACATGTTCTTCTTCCTGCCTGGGACACACTTCCTTCTATTCATCTAGTTAACTCATCTTCATGTTTTGGAGCACAATCACCACTTCTTCAGACAAGACTTTGTTGACTCTCTCAGATCTCTGAGACCAGGACCTATTGCGTCACAAACCCCAATCCTACACTAACCCAACTACCTGCTCTCTTGTGTCTGGGCCTGAGCTCCCAAGTGTTGCTGGAGAAAGTCACTGAAGTGTTCTATCATCCTCAAATGCATCCTTCAAGAAAGTCCTGCCATCCTTTCATAGGCAGTCACAGCACTATCTACCTCTACTTCATTGCACTTAACACAATTCTAACTTAACATTTAACGTTATGTCAGGTGCTGGATGCTTGCATCATCTTTTTTATATTATAAGCTCCATGAAGCTAGCCTGCTTTCTCTTCACCAACGTATTCCTAGTGCTTAGCCCCTATGCTTGCCATAGAGTTGGCTCTCAAAAAATAACTCTCAAATAGAATCTGAAAATGCTTTCAAGTGCCTTACCTTGTAAATCTTCCATCAATTCAAACATTCCAGGGTAGTTAACTTGAATTTCATCAGTGTCCTATTTATAAAGAAAAAGAAGTATTTGTTTGACATTCATCAGAAAAAAATCCAGATTTGAAAACAAGCAGAGATTACCCAGACCAATCTCTTATGGTAAGCAGGAATCATCTCTATAATATTCTTCATAGATGTCATCTGGCTTTTATGCTTGATTATGAAGATTTCAAATTGCAGAATAAATATTCACCATTTTAAGAAAACGCTTCCTAAAACTCCATCAGCTGGATCTAGTTGCCTCACTGGGAACAACACAGAGTAAGTCTATTCTGTACTCTGCAAACCATTACCCTCTTCTCCAAGCCTAAAAACTCTTCCAGGACACTGCAGGGGAGCAGGATTTTCCCACCCGAAAATATGTCTCTTTGGAATGAGAATTCATTTAGGCTGATTATTTTTAAGAAACAACTGGCTCAAAAAGGGCCTTTTACCCTTAACTGCCTAAAAGAACTTGGATCCAGGTAGCACACTATCACCAGAGACACCTACAAAAAATATGGGCTAGGTATGGTAGGGGTGATTCGGCAAAACTTGAGACCAAAGAAGACCAAAGACCTCTCTGTGTCACACCCTATGTGTGGCATAGCTAACATTTGTTTACCAAGCATTTGTTTTTTCCTCTCCATGTAAATTGCTTTCCTCCCCTTTGAAGTCCCAGAATTCTAACCCTTCTCCTTAGTTCAGAATGGCATGTAAGCCCCAATTGCTTGACTCTCTATGGGTTCCCATATTCTTACGGAGCCCAGTATGCAAGAAATTAAATTTGATTTTCTCCTGTTCATCTGTCTCATGTCAATTTAATTCTTAGACCAGCCAGACAAACCTAGAAGAATAGAGGAGAAATTTTTTCCCACCCAACATCACAATTTTTTTTTAAGGGGAGGCGTTAGTCTTCTAGAAAAAATGTAGAGATCCTTACATGTTCTCACTACATTTCTCTGTGCACAGTCAATATCAATCTCTCTGAAAAGTTGGTGCCCAGAATCAAGCCAAACAGGGTCATCTCCCACGATGTTTTCATCCTACTTCTAATAATGCAGCAATAACGCACTGCTCATTTAGGAGATGGACGCACTGCAGACACATACACATTTCTCAAGTGAACTTTTGGGCAATGAAGCCCCCATTCTTTTTGAGGCTTGATACAGGAGTTTATTGTTGGTAGAGTGGCAGAGACCACTGATGCTCCCCAAATATCCAGGTGTTCCTTGACACTTCCCATCCCCAAACAGACATTTACTCTAACCAAAGAAAACGGGGAGGGGGTAAGCTAATAAAGAGCTAGTGAGCCTTTCCAGGCCATCTCTTCTGCTCTGCTGACTTCAGCAGATTCAAAAGCCCAATGGCACAACTGCCAGATGGGGATGGGCTGCCCAACCAGCATGGGGCTGTGATATAATAACATTTAGTGTTAAGCACTAACATGTAGGAATTTGTCTGTACTGGAAATTAGCCCTCAATACAGGACACCTACTTGTTTTTTTTAAGTTTGCTATCAAAATGCTGCATGTATCTCAAACTTATATCTTATTTGCACTAACCACTTCTGAAGTGCCTAGATCTTTTTGCGTTCTGTAACTTTATCTGTGTTACCTATTCCTCCCAATGTTGGACTGTATTGTTGCACAGTATCAAGTACAAAGCCCAAAAGAACACTTAGCAAAGACATCCACTCTAATTCCTAACAAAACGCAAAACAAAATGATCAGTTATCTGTTTTTTTCCATCTTAGAGATGCAAAGCATAACCAAGAATTTGCATAGTCTGTTGATCAGGCATGTCAATTGATGCTACCTTTTGGAGAGTAATTTGACCTGTCAAAATTTCAAATGCATAGATTCTTTAACCCAGCAATTGCATTCCTAGAAATTGACCTGGCAGATGTGCCAGGAGTATGTGAAAGGAAATTCACTGCAGCATTGTTTGAAAAAGTAAAAAAAAAACCAAAAACCCAAAATACAAACTGGAAAAATCTTAATGTCCAGTAGTAGATAACTGATTAAATAAATTAAACTATACCTATTTAATGAAATACTATACAGCTGTTAAAAAAGAATGTTGTAGATATTTATAGGGGAAGATCTCCAACATATGTTATTGACCGAAAAAAACTCAAGAGTGCAATATAGAAAGAAAATAAAAGAGTGCGCGCGCGCACACACACACACACACACACGTAGGTTTTAAGTGATGTAGTTATTCTGGTTTACAAGGGAAAATTGTTCTGAAAGGATGTACAAGAACGTTAACAAAGGTCATCTTTGGGGAGCAGGACTGAGTGTCAGAAGTCAGGAGGAAACCTTTTTTCACTTTAGAACTGCTCTATAGTTATCTCATTCTATCTATACATTTTTAATTTCCATTTAAAAAAAAATATATGCATGGCGCAGGTTGTGTGTACACTTTTTAATAACACCATCTCGGTGCCCGGCTAGCTCAGTCGGTAGAGCATGAGACTGTTAATAACACCATCTCTGGGTAATCCATTGCTCTACCTTAAGAAGCTATTTTTAAAAAGAGATCCTATGATTAAAAACAAAATTCCTTCCAAGCTCATACCCAGTCATTAAACAATATCCTTTGAAAGTCATTTTTCAATGAAACCAACTAAAAGCACTACCTCCATCTCAAAACAGTACCACTATAGCTTTGCCAAAGGCCTTATTCAAATTAAGATGGACCATATCTGCAGTTTTCTCCTAATATACTAGTCTGGCAACTCTTTTCTAAAAGGAAATGAGCTTCATTTTGAATGACTCTGAAAATAATTCACTAAGAGGGTCATATAAATATAAATGTAGCTAAATGGTTTAATTTAACTTGATTTCACTTTAAAAATAAGAAACCATTGCAGCATAAAAATAATATATTTAATGTTGTATGCAACATAAACCTGTATAATTGATTATATAAAAGCTTTTTTGGATGGGATTATTAGAAAATAAATTAGAATGCAATGTTAATACAGCACTTCAGAAACAGTGTATATGTCTCAAGGAACAAATTTATAGACTTATTATTAAATCAGCAACTCTCTAATTTTATAAACCACTGAAGAAGATTCCATACTAATATTTTTGTATTACATTCACGTTTGAGTCATTCATTTATTTCTGGAGCAGAATATGGAAGGTATTCTAAATTTATAGATTTTCCCACTTACCAAAAATGTAGGCTTTTAAATGCTATGATGTCAGGTTAAGCATTTTTAGTAGAAATCTGTCTAAAATGTATAACCCACTTTACAACCATAGAAAACCGCAAGGGTTAGCATAATTTAACTTTCTTTGAAGACTCGGGATAGACGTCCCCTGTTTTTCCTAACAGGTAACAACTTTTGAGTCCCTAATATTGTTGACTAATACATATAACCTAGGACAACTTCTTTAACATCACCCCATGAACAACTGGACCACACCTCTCCGCGTCACTCCTGTTCCCTAAATCCCCTCCTACACTTTTTAGCTGCTTTACATTCCCATCCAGAGATTCTCTTTATTTCACTTCAATTTGTAACACAGCAATATGGAACACAATTGTTAAAGAGGATGGACTATAATCTTTTCTTTATTGTAAGTAAAATAAATATTAGAGGTTAGTGCTTTAAATCAGTGGTTTCTGATCTATTTTCAGTCACAGTCTTCTCTCAAGATCTGATGAAAACTACAGGCTCTGTCCTTCACTTATGAACAACAAAAAAATAAGTTTGCTTACAACGTCCAGTGTCAACAGACCCTCTGAAGTCTACTGACAGGCACTTTATAAACCAAGAACATCAGACAGAGATTTCTGCCTGTTTTGTTCATTGCTATATCCAAAGTACCTAGAATAGTGCCTGGCAAATAGAAGGAACTCAATAAATATTTGCTGTAAGACTGAATAAATAAATGAAAACACAAGACAAAGACAGTCATTTCAGAATTGTTTCTCTTAGCAAAAACAAACAAACACACACAAAACTTGGAAGAAACCTAAATGTTGTTCATTAGGGCAATAGTTAAATAAAACAGTGGCACAGTCATACTAGGGAATAATACACAGAAGTTTAAGAGGGCAAATATATCCATATTGATGTGGGAAACAATCTAAAATATACTGCTAAGAATAAAAAATAAGTTTCAGAAATATACATATACATATGTATGTCTATATATAGTATGGTAAAGTATTTGTTGTTTAAAAAAAATCTGGACAATTCATTACACACCAAATTGATGATAATAACTACTCCTAGGGCAGCAGTACTCAAAGGGTGGTTTGAAGAATCCTTGGGTCCCTCGGGCCCTTTCGGAGGTCCACGAAGTCAAATTTTTTTCATGATAATACTAAGATCTATTTGACTTTTTCACCTCTCATCCTCTCATGAGCATACAATGGGATTTTTCAGAAGCTTGCATGACATGTGATATTGCGATAGATATGAATGCAATAGCAGACACGAGAATCTAGCTTGTATTATGTCATATGTTAAAAGAAATATATAAAAATGTAATGACATTTTTTTCTCTCAATTTTTTTTTCTTTTGGAAAATAGTTCTTTTTCACAAAAAATTGGTTATTTATAACATGTAATTGGTACATTATTGTTAGTTTTAAATGAATACTAAAATTCAGTTTTGATTTCTAGTATGGTTAATATTGATAGCTATAACCCACATAGACAAAAGCCCTTTAATGTCATCAGTAATTTTAAGTGTGTAGAGGGGGCATAAGACCAAAATTTTGAGAATTGTTGCTCTCAGGAGAGAGCTAAGATTTGGGGGATTAAAGGGAGGGGGATGACAGACTTTCGCTTTATCTGTACAGTGTAATGTTTACCACCAAATTATATTTGTGATTATTTACATAATTAAAAATATAATGATCCCTCAATGTACAATTGCCTATATTCAGAGCATTTGTTTTCATTACAAAACATAACCCTCACATGAAGCAGTTTTCCCACTTTCAGCTGCCCCACATCTCAGAATGCAGTTTCTACTGACTCATGCCATTTAAAAGTTTACAAAAGACAGCTGTGAAACCTTGAGGGTTGTCATCAGTTCCTAGCCTATTGTCTCTTCCCTTCCCTGGAAGCCTCTTTCCAACATCAGAGGCCCTGCTGGTCTATACCAAAAGGAAGGGAGGATATGACGGTTCGTTTTTGATTGGTTGATTTTATGAAATATAATCACGCTAAATCACCTTAAATAGTTATTTTGATTTTAATTATGCAATGAAAAGCTTTCTCCACCAAGAAATTCCTATTTTGTCTAGTCAGGTTTAGAGATGTTTCTAGGCCTGAGGAGATTGGAAAATCATAGTAAGTATACTCAACCAATCTCTGAAGGCCGTAACGGCATCCTTTACAATTACTTTGCTATTGAAAGGAGTTGGAAGCGGGTAATCACTGTCTCTTGGATAATTTCTTATTGAAAACCTTGGCCTGGAAAGCGCTAGGAGCAGAGTGAGGAGGAGAGGGGAAGGCAGGAGCTAGTATTTATTATCTACCAAGGTGCAGGTACTTCACCCTTTGTCTTATTTAATTCTAACAATCACCTAGGGGGAGTAACATCTACATTAGAAAAGAATGCTCAGAGTGGTGAAGTAAACGGCCCAAATTCCCTTAGCTGGTAAAGGGGCAAAGTAAGGAGTCAAGTGATACCTGTCAGACACCAACCCCTGTACCACCGTTGCTGACTCCGTCTGCTCTGCCCTGGGGGCCCATGGGCCTCTTTCCAGGTCTCTCCAACCCTGATGGAGTGCAGCCCCCATCCTACCTTCTCTGACCCTGACCTAACCCTAGGCCTTGCAAACACACATGGTTTCATTTCTCCTCACATGGTACTATTTTAGTTAAGGAGTGGTGGAAGGGGTAGTGTGTAAAAGCTCCTATACGTCCCTTTTCCCTATCACCCACCCAGAATGCTCTAATTCTCTTACTACACCTTCTAGATTTGAAGATTCTGATGGAGTTGTATGTCTTGAAAATGGCCTCCTTGTTAACTGAGGTACATTGTTTTTGAGCTACTTATTCAGGTAAAAAATACTAAAAATTTTACAATCTTACCTTGTGTCAATCAAGATGTGTTTACATAAACTAAATTAAAAGAGAGAACATGCCAAACCCTTTCCATAATACCATCAATACCTACATTTTTCTATCTTTAAATGAGAAGTTGTTTCTGAATTGTGTCATTAATGGGTTACTCGAGTCTTGATAGTTACCACAGTCAGTGTATTAAAGCCAGCTCTCCCAAGCAGATGTCCCAGGTCATTGACAGCAGTAAAAGGAGACACGTGTGGGGAAAATCCTCCTTCCCTTTCCGTTTCTGCTAACTGTAATGAACACCGAAGTTCATAGAGTGTGTCGCCTCCAAACATTGCGCCAATAAAAACCCCATCTGGCTTTAAAACGTAATGAATCTGTAATAAATACAAGACAACAAAACTGTTCAAAATTTCATATATAAAAGTATGAAAAGAATAAACATATGGTGTCTAAATCAATATTTTGATTACCATTTTGAGTTTGTCAAATTAATACTCAGATAATTGAAGATAATTTAATAAATAGCACCTAAGGCAATAACTGTCAGAAAGGCATAGCAGTAAGATATTGATAGACAACACATGCATTGATAGTATTAGTATCTATAAAATATGTTGTTTATTTTCAAATTTTCTAATACACACAACTTACTTTTATAATCAGAAAAATACTGAAAAAAAATTATAGTGCAGTATATTGAAAAAAATCACAATTTTCCCTATATCTGTGCCCTCTGAAATGCCACTTTGTAACAACTCCCATTAAGACATGGGGTCTCTTTCCCCTCTCCTTGAATCTGGGCTGGCCTCGTGACTTGCTTTGGCCAAAGGTGTGGAGTGCAAGTGACAGTGGGTCAGTGTCAAGCCAAGGTCTCAAATGGCCTTGCATGCTTCTGCCTGCTCCCTTGGAGCCCCATCTAGCCCCCGTGTTGTAAACAAGCCAGGCTGGTGAAGGATGAGGGACACGCAGAGCAGGGATCAGCCACGCATCCCAGCTGAGGCCATCCTTGACCAGCAAGCTCCAAGACAATCGAGCAGCAGATCACAGACACATGGCGGAGCTACGCCAGAACCAGAAGAATTTCCTAAGTCCAGCCCAAATTTCCAACCCACAAAACTGTAAGCTAAGTAAACTGTTTTAAACCACTAAGTTGGGGTGGCCTGATATGCAGAAAAAGCTAATTTATAGAGAAACCATTATTTTTTACAATATTAACCAAGACACACATTAGTTCTTAAGGAGAAGTAGCTAACTTAGTTTCTAGCTTGAAAACAAAAACACTTTTTAATTGATAACTTAAGCAAAATAGTGGCTGGAATGAATTTCAGAATCCCATACATTTACTCACTGATTCTCTTAGAACTACAATCTGTAACTAGTTTTGACTCTGGCTATTCTCAGCACTGAGGAACATTATAGGAAAGGATGATTCTGAAGTAAACCAGGACCCAAATTACAGTAGGCTCTTCTAATCAAAGTATCCATTTTGAATTTATATTAAATATATTTATATATTTATTACAAAATATTGTTTTATAATATTGTATATTACAAAATATAAAAATATATTTATTACAAATTATGAAGCAATTACAAAATAGTACATAAGCAAACCAACTGTAAAACCCTTGGTTTCTTCCCTTCTGCCCCTTTAGTGTTACTGTCCTCTAGTCACCAAGCTCTAATACAGAACTACCTAAGATTTAGTCCTCAGCTCTCTGCAGCTGCTCTCTGCCTCAGAGGACTTATCAATTCCCCAAGGATTTCCCAAGGATGACCTTCCGATCTTTATCTTTAGCTTGCACATATCCCCAGAGCTCTAAACTCATCTTCAACTTCCTGTGCCACGGACATTTGTTGCTTGGCAAACTCAGCCCCCAACACATCCAGCACACATACAACCCTTATTCGCAAAGCAATTCCCCTTTCCAATGGCCATATTTCTGTTATCATTTCCTATTCCCTTTATGATCATTACCATTCTTTTCTCTGCTTTTACTGAATATTCTCCCAGGGATCCAGACTCAAAACTTGAAGGTGAGCTTTACTCTTCCTCTTGTCTGGTCTTCCCACCAAACTGTGGATACTTCCTTTGCACAGTCCTAAAGACCGCTCTTCCTTTTAACTCCCACTGCTGCCACCGAGGTTTAGTTTATGTCTTTAACTTAACCAACTTCTGGCATCGGTTTTCTAATCAGTAAAATGAAGATATCTTGCAGAGTTATTTAACATATATGAAACAGCATAGTGACTAGCAAATAGTATATCAAGCAAAAAAAATGTGCTTAAGATATGGTAGTTATTATCCTGCCCACCAGCTTTTTAATCATGTCACTTTCCTCTTCAAAATTCTCAGTGGCTCTGAACCGCATAAAGAATAAACGGCAAATTCCTTCATCTGTCACCAAAGTCCTCCTAAATCTAGTCCTAATATACCTCATCTCCCAGCACTATTAGGCTAATTCTCCAAACAGGTTTCCTCTTTGTCCTTTCATGTTCCTGAGGCTCTTATACTTCCCACCTACCCTGATTCTGCCTTTCTGGAATGCCTTTCCTCTCCAAATCTGACCTATGCTCTAAGGCCCCATTCAAGTAATTCCTTCGTCTTGAAGCTTTCTTGGCAGCTCCAAGCCACAGTGATCTCCTTCCCTCCTCTGAACACAATGCTTTTTACGTACCACTCATCTGTTCAGTGATAAATATCAACCAACAAACATTTATCTAGCACTCTCTAAGTATAAGGCATAGGGAAGAAACAAATATAAACAAATAGGTTCCTACCCATAAACATTTATAGGCCATTAAGAAGGAAAATAAACCCACTCAGAAAATGTCTTATGATATCAATATTATTTTGCACAAGTTAGTGAAGTTTTCATAAATATTTAAAACATCTCTGTAATTAGATTTCTTGAATTCCCTGGGAGGGGGGAAATCACCCAAAATACTTAATATGCCAAAGGGCACCAAGTATATCAGACCCACAGAAGGAAATACTTGATTTGCTTCCATTTCCAACTGTCAGAAGTATTCATCAGAAAATATCCATAAGTTTCCATGTGAAAAGAGAAACATCTATAGGTTTCTAATAATAAATAACACAAGTTATCATAATCAACATTAAGTTTCTTACCTGTTCAAGTGCTCTAGGAAGGTCATTCACCCAGTGCAAACTAAAATATGAAAACACGTATTTGTTCTAGCTTAATTCATATAATTAATTAGTATAAGTATCACTAGTATAAGCCACAAAAGTGTTAATTTTAAGTATGAAATTGCATAATAAAATTCACTGATTGTTTTCATAAAAGTTTTAAAATAAAAAATATTCCTAGGGGAAAAACCTTCCTTCGGTCACACTAGAAAATGAGACAGTATTTCACTTTGGTGATATGATTATCTGTTCAATTATTTTTCACTGAATAAAGCAAAAGTCAATTTTTCCAAAGAAGACATACAAATGGCTAACAGGTACATGAAAAAATGCCAACATCACTAATCATATGGGAAATGCAAATCAACACTACAATGAGATATTGCCTTATTCCTATTAGGATGGCTATTATCAAAAGGACAAGAAATAACAAATGCTGGCTGGCAAAGATGTGTAGTAAAGGGAACCATTGTGCATTGTCGGTGGGAATATAAACTGGTATAGATGCCATAGAAAACGTGTGAGGTTCCTCAAAACATTAAAAATTGAACTTCCATATAATCCAGCAATCACACTGCTGGGTATATATCCGAAGGAAATGAAAACACTATTTCAAAGAGATATCTGCTGCAGCGTTATTCACAATAGCCAAGATATGGAAATAACCTAAGTATCCATCAATGGATGAATGGATAAAAACGTGGTATAGATACGTAATAGAATATTACTCAGCAATAAAAAGGAAGGAAATCCTGCCTTTGGGGACAATATAGATGAACTTTGAGGACATTATGCCAAGTGAAATAAGTCAAAGAAAAAAATACTCTAAGTTCTCATTCATATGTGGAATCTAAAAAAGCCAAACACAAAGAAAGAGAGTAGAATGGTGGTTGTCAGGGGCTGGGGGTTGAGAGAAACAAGGAGATGTTGGTCAAAGAGTACAAACTTCTGGCTATAAAATAAATAATATTTGGGGATCTAATGCACAGCATGGGACTACAATTAACCACACTGTATTATATACTTGAAGGTTTTTAAGAGAGTAGATCTTTTTTTTTTTTTAAGATTTTTTTTTTATTGGGGAATTGGGGAGATGGGAACAGCACTGGGGAATTGGGGGAAGGGGAACAGACAAGTTGCTGTTGTTTTGTTCTTCAATCTAGTGTGGAGGACGTTGCTTCACTGGCCCAAGTTGGCACCATCATTGTGCTTTTCCCAGGCGAGGCAGATCAGTCGCCGGCTTCTGGACGGCTGTTCACTGCGGCTGCTGGCCGCTCACGCTGGCTGCTGGCTACACACGGTAGCCCATGGCAACCCACTGCCACAGGGGCTGCAGCCTACGCTGTCGCCGGCGACTCACGGCAGCCCAGCTCCAGGCTGAGCTGTTGTTCAGCATCTTAGCTGTAGAGGGCAGTGTCACTGGCCCTCATATGTGGGATCCGAACCGGGGCCCTCTGGCATCCCAAGCCAGTTCTTAACCATCGCGCCACTCGGCCGGCCCCAAGAGAATAGATCTTAAATGTTAATCACCACATACACATACAAAAAAATTGTAATTATGTGAGGTTAACACTAACCTTATTGTGGTAATCAGTTTGTAATATATACATGTATCTGACCACCACATTGTACACCTTAAACTTACATATGTTATATATCAATAATAATTCAATACAGCTGGGGAAAAAATAAAGTAAAAGTCATTCCTATCTGGCATCTCATCTAAACAATACTATTCTGAGAACTTATTTCAAAAAAGTAGTAAAAAAAGCACCTGATGACACATTCAAAAAAGCTCAATCAAACAGTTAAGCTAGAGATATTCAATAGTCTAACTTTCCTAGAAAAAAAAATTATCATAAGACCTATAATTTTCCCAAGGAAAATAGTATTAGTCATCAAAAACCTAACTCAGTGAGTTTTCTGATAAACACCCCATATTTTTTAAGATCATAAAAGAAACAACCAAACAAATCCAGAGCTCTACATACTGAAAACTTAATTGAAGAAACCTCTTGCATTGTCTTTGACCCTATTTACCCTCTCCCAGAGCGTGGTGACATGTGACGACAAGAATCATAGTCTCCATAGAGTACAGTCACACTTTCCTGGTGGAGTTGGCATCTTATGCTGACTTCCAGGACAGGACTGAATACCTATTTTAAACCATAGTATATTAAGCTCACATTTATAATATCTTTCATAATGCTTTCTAACAACTATTACATACTTTAAAAACTAAGGAAGTCATATTATAAGCTCTATCACACTTGGGAAACCGAAAGCAACAAAATTAGTTACTTGCAAACAGCAAGCAGATGAGCTAAAGTTACAATTCAGGTTGTGACTTCCTTCTTTCCTTTAGACCAAGGCTCTGAAATGTTTTTCATTTCATGATAGATTCTGGGTACTTATCAAAGTTTCTTCAGCAATAGATTGTGAACACTTTTCTAAATTTGTTTGGCACACCTCAAAAAGCAGGGAGAAGTTACAAACTCACTGAAGAAAACAGCAAGGGTGACCAACTTTCCCAGGTTGCTTGGGACTGAGAGGTTTTCTGGACACAGGTCTTTTAGTGCTAACACTGACAAAGTCAGGGCAAAGGCCATGATATTAGTCACCCTAAAAACAGGTATCAGAAGGGTTGTTCTGAGCATGTTGAATCTTTGAATGAAAATCTGACAATAATAACAGAGCAGGAGAAATAAGGTACCATACAGAATATTTTATGTTCTCTATTAGACACTAAGATCTTTGAGGACAAGATTCCTGTTTGAATTCATTTTTTTATTCCTCCAAAGCATCTAGCTCAGTGCTTTGCATATTATAATCTATTCAATAAATACTTATAAAATATGCTTGTGTAATAAATGTAGAGGTACATGGTAGAAAGCACAAAGGGAAAAACAGTAACCTTGAGGACTATATTTCTGTAAATTACAATTGAAGGAAATGCTAGCTTTCCCTTACCAGACTGAGTTTATAAGGGTGCTCTAACATTTGAATATTGGAATCAGCATACTCTTTCAAACTCCTGCCCCCATTAATATCAATTCCAGAATACTAAGCTACATTGGCAAGGAAGGGAGAGCGCTTCTATCACAGATGAGCTTTAGCAAATTGGGGAAAGATGAGGGGAAAAAAACAAAACGTTGCGATACTATATCATATTATCTCCACTAGGGAGATATAATCCACAGTTCTTTACCAGAGAAATCTTACAGCTTATAAACCAAGAAAACTGGTTTATGACCCAAAAAAAAAAAAAAAGGTATTCAAAATTTACTCTAGGGCTCGCCGAGTGGTGCTTTGGTTAGGAGTTGGCTTGGGATGCCAGCTCTGAGCAGCAGGGCCACGGTTTGGATCCCAGATAAGGGCCAGTGACACTACGCCTTCTACAGCTAAGATGGTGAACAACAGCTTGACTTAGAGCTGGGCTGCCGTGAGTCACCTATGATGGCATAGGCTGCAGTAGGGCTGCAGTGGGCTGCTGTAAGCTACCATGAGTGGTCGGCAGCGGGCTGAGCTTTCATGAGCTGCCGTGAGCCACCATGAGCGGCCGTCCATTGGCTGGTGAGCGAATGCCTCACCTGGGAAGAGCACAATGATCATGATACCAACATGGGCCAATGAAACGACATCCTCCACAACTAGACTGAAGAACAAAAGGACGGCAACTTGCTGTTCCCCTTCCCGATTCCCCAACGCTATTCCCTCCCCCAATTCCCCAATAAATCTTAAAAAAAAAAAAGAATTTACTCTATTATCTATTTTCTTTACCTTATAATATTAAAACTTTATAGTACAAATTATCTACTAATAACACTCCCCCCATGGGGGCCGGCTGTCGGACCCCTCACTCCTGCAGCCTGCCCTGCCCTCCACTCGAATAACATTTATCTTTTTAAAGTACAAATGGATTACCAACCTTAAACTGCTAACCACCAGGTCAAATGTATTTTCTCTGAAAGGAAGGAATTCTTCATCAGCTAAAACACTGACAGTAGGAATTTCCGTTTCTAAGGTATTTTTCTAATGGTTAAAAAACAGAAGTTCAAAAACATTTATATAAAATTTCAATTACTATTCCTCATGTGAAAATATATATTATGTCATTGAATCTACCTTAATGTTAAAATTAAAGAATTGAAGGCCTTTTTGAATAATAAAATAAAATCTCAATTATTAACACAACCATTGTTTGTTAAACCTAAATCAATGTTATATTTACTTGGCAGTATCTATACCTTCCAAAAAAAAAGGGAGCCACAGAGAAGGCACTCAAAAAATATTTCTTAAATGACACTTAACACCAGCCAGAAAAACTGGCTAGCCAGTTGGAAAAATATAAACAGGATACCTATCTCACAGCAAAACAAATCTCAGAAAGCTAAAAGTTTCAGTGGAATAACTGAAGCCATAAAAGTATTAGATGAAAATATGGGTGAACATGTTAATACTCTTCGAAGAAAATACCTAAGTAAACATGACTCAAAAGCCAGAAACAGTAAAGGAAAAGATTGATATATTTGATAATAAATTAATAAAAAACTTCTCAAAAGCAATAAATAATGTAAACAACATACTTGAGAAAATATTTACAACATAATTGATGAAAGATTAATATCCCTCAAAAATAAGCTTTCACAAACCATCTAGAATAAAAACATGCCAAGGCTAATGTAGGTAAAGGACAAAGTACAGGCAAATCACAAGATTACCTACAAAACTCACAAATTAAAAAATACCAATAGCCAAACAGCAGTAGCCAAAAGACTTATCAACAGCTATTTGGTTGTACTAGTGATCAAAGAAATCCAAGTAAAAATAACAAGATTCTACTTTCTGCCTAGCAGATTGACAAAGACAAAACAACTGGCCCAGTGTTGCTAAAAAGGAGGAGAAAAAAAGTACTTGCATATAATATTATTATTCAGTCTTTCTAAGGTCAGTCTGGAATCTATAAATTCCACTATTAGGAATTTACTCCCAGGGAGAAAAATAAATCATACACACAAAGTTGCTTTATATGATGATGTTCACAACAGTGTTGGTTATATAGAACTAAAATTATAACTGTTCAATACAAACTTAGCTAAATAAATCATGGCATATTCATATATTGGAGTACTATATAGCCATTTAAAAAGATGATGTGTGCATGTATGCCATTCACTGATATAAAAAGAATGATATTCTGTGAAAAACACGGCATGTTAACATAATACCATCTATATAAAACTAAATTTTGGGGATGTAGTTATACATCTGCAAAGGTGGAGACCAAAATGTCACCAGTGGCGGCCTCTGGTGGGACTAGGGGTGATTTTTCTTTTTTCCTTTATATTTCTTGTATGTTTAATTCTTTTGGGTGTGTGTGTTATATTTATAATAATTTTTAAAAAGCTATTTTCATTTTGAAGGAAATAAAAATAAAGAAATAAAAAATGAAAAATCAAACCGGGAGATCAGAAACCAATAGTATTAAAAAGTTACTTACCAAAGCATGTTCTGCTATGTCTACTTGGAAAAACCTCCCAACAGTTTCCTGCAATAAAATAATTAAAGCTGGTCAGATAATACAAAAACAAACACACAAAAATTCAGTAACAATAAAACAAATATTGAAATTGCTAAAGAAGAATGTAATAGCTACAGATGAACTTTCAGCTTTGTAAGGATATTTTTCTGCATCAAACCAGTATGGTACACAAATAACTTTAATAATATGTATACATGCAGCCAACTTTATATGTAATATATTTAACTATATTTAATAAAATAGAGAACACAGGTGTGAATAATCAACATCCTTTCATCCGCTGGGTTAAGGCTGTGTATTAACTTTTCCAAAGCATAGTAAGCCAAGAGTCAGTCCCAACTCCTGTGCTACAAAAGACTTTGAATGGATTACTACTAATGAAATCGAATCAGTAACAAGCTCCCAACAAACAAAAGTCCTGGACTATATGGCTTCATGGGTGAATTTTACCAAACATTCAAAAAAAATAATACCTATTTTTCTCAAACTATTCCAAAAACTTCAAAAGTAGGAAAGGTTCATTTTACAAAGTCACCATTACCCTGATTCCAAAACCAGACAAAGACATTACAAAAAAAGAAAACTATAGGCCAATATCCCTAATGAACATAAATGTAAAAGTCCTCAACAAAATATTAGCAAATGGAATTCAGCAATACATTAAAATGATCGTACACCATAATCAAGTGAGATTTATTCCTGGTGTGCAAGGTTGGCTCAATATCTGCAAATCAATTAACGTGACACCACATAAACAAAATGAAAAATAAAAATCAGATGGTCATATCAATAGATGGAGAAAAAGCGTTTGACAAAATCCAGCATTTGTTTATGATAAAAACTCAGCAAAGTGAGAATGGGGGGAACATATCGCAACATAATAAAGGATATATATGACAAACCCACAGCTAATAACATACTCAGTGGGGAAAAGCTAAGAACATTCTCCTTAAGATCAGGAACAAGACTAGGATGTCCATTCTCGCCACTTTTATTCAACATAGTACTGGAAGTCTGAGTCACAGCAATCAGACAAGAAAAAGAAATAA